TTTAAAGGCTAATCAAGAATCGATGCACTAGGCTTTAGGCTGATTAGTTTGAGATCAAAACGTTGTTACATCTTTAGATAGATGTATCTGAGGAAAATAATCTTCTGATCATTCAAAGTAATTCTATGTGATTCACATAGATGCAACAAATAGCTATAAGGCAGTCCAATCGTTTTACTTCTAAGTCACAACTAGTTTGGATATTTATCATCCTTCATCTTTGAAAAAGTGAATGATTTGAAAAGAAGCCTTTTCATCCCAAAACTTATATCGATGCTATTTCTTTTGAGAACACAGTCGTGATCTGAAATGCTTCTCGATTATTCGTGCAAGGAAGACTCCGATGTCTATTAATGCATTCATTAGTTTACACAAAAAGGTATTAGTAAGAAAGTGAAAGCGTGCTCGATTAATATCCGACAACATCAAATTATCTACGACTCTAAATATAAATCAATAAATTCTCTAAGTTTGCTTTCTTCTTTTGTATTGCTCTCACATATTGATCATCAGTTCGAAAACTTCACATTTCAAACTATTAATATTTTCTTTTGGGCTCCAGATAATTAGTGCACGCAATCATAATGTAATTCTAATGTATCAATATGAGCCATCTTTACGGTTGCATTCGAAACTCCTTTTGTCATCTGTATCTAGGGTGTGGATGTGATCATGATACTTATATACCCACACACACAGGCTTCATAAAGCCTTAAAAAGGATTTTTTTAGCCGCTGCACTGTCATAAACCCTTTTCGTAAGGTTTATTATTTTACGAATTCTATTTACAGTGCATCAGTCAGCATTAAACCATATTCACAAAAGACTGAACATACTGGTCAGGATCCCGCTCTCCACATTCTTTCGTTCATTGATAACAAAAAGATAGAGGGGGTCTCATTATTCTGTCAAACTATTCATGTTTATGCGAGCTATTATTCATTAATTGATTGGTGATAGACGACAACTGAGAGTTTGTTGCATGAGTTTCTCTTTATGCCAACCTTTTAAGGAAAAAGAAGGGGAAGAAAATATTATTTTGAAAATCAACTTTAGAAAATAAATTTGAAGTGGCCAAAATAATCTTTCATACTAAACATTTCTAGCATTCGTTCCATTACGTGGGACTGCTGTCGATATTGACCTGAACGCTATATGGCAAGAAAATGGTACTACCGTAGCTGGAGGAAATGGATGGGGAAATCAATCAAATCAACTCTACCAGCCATGGGGTTTGTTTCTCGATGATAGCGAAACGATTTATGTCGCTGATTCACAAAATCATCGTATTATGGCGTGGACATCAGACGCAACGAGTGGTGAGGTGGTTGCTGGTGAAAATGGAAGAGGAAATGGGTCTCATCAGCTGTCTTATCCACGTGACCTGGTGGTTGACAAAGTGACAGATAGTTTCATCATTGCCGACTTTGGTAATAAAAGAGTAGTTTGGTGGCCTCGCCAAAATGGAACACATGGAGAAACAATCCTATCGGAGATCGATTGTCTGGGTTTGACCATGGATGAGAACGGATCTCTTTATGTGGCTCAGTATGAGAAACATGAAGTGCGACAATATCGAAGAGGAGAATCGAATGGTACTAAAGTTGCCGGTGGTAATGGAGGTGGAAGTCGTACTGATCAGCTCAACGGCCCACGCTACATATTCGTCTATCGAGATGGTTCACTTTACGTTTCTGATTGGGGAAATCATCGTGTGATGAAATGGGCGGAAGGTGCAACGCACGGCACTGTCGTGGCTGGCGGTCAAGGATACGGAAGTAATCTTACAGAGTTGTCATATGCTCATGGTGTCGTTGTCGATCAATTGGCCACTGTTTATGTAGCTGATCAATTGAATCATCGAATTATGCGTTGGCCCAAAGGAAACACACAGGGAAATGCCATTATTGGCGGAAACGGTAGAGGAGGACAGCCGAATCAACTTCACGAACCTGCAGGTTTGTCGTTTGATCAATATGGGAACCTCTATGTTGTTGATTTTGTGAATCATCGAGTACAAAAATTTAACCTTACGTCAAATTTTTAACATACTATAAAAATACGTTTTTTTGTATGCTTTTTAATAAAAAATGAATGCATTATCTTAAAATTGAATCCTATTCAATTTGTCAAAGCGCATACGAATGATGATATAACAATCTAGTAAAACCTTGTCACAAAAATGTGGATATCCTTGTGAATATTGATGTAGATGTGGTAGAAAATCCTGTTCATCGAATAATATCCGTATCCAAAAGCTTTCACTGCATTTCTACAATATATATTCAAAATTAGCGTGTTTATTGTATGTATAGTAATTATGCCTTGCTATATGCTTCAATAGTCATATTCACTCAAATCTACTAGTTCAAAAAACCCACCTAAATCTACATACGCATGCACATACACTAAGATATCTATGCCCATAGGCAGTTGTTGCACTCCATTGTTTGATGGCGGAGTCTTTTTTCATTACTCACATGATATACTGCTTCAGAGTGTCTTGAGAAAGTTACAAAGCTGCTTAATCGAACTTTGTATAAAACGAAGACATTTTTTCACTTATCTTAAAGTAAAATAGAAGATATGCATTTTCTTACATTTTGGTTCGTTGTTTCGTTGACGATGGTGCAAACCGATGAGGGTGTCCCCTCTCTTTTTTGAAGCTCTCTTTCGTCGTCCATCGATCGATGGTTGTGTTCCTCGAACTAATCATTTTTGTCATGTAGTGAATGCCTTACATGAAACATTGTCATCGGAAAAAAATCAAACAGATATCAACTATTTGATAGATTCTATTCCTGAAGCCGAAACACTCGACTGGCTATTAGTGCTCGGCCTTCAAGAGTTTGCAATGTTTGCGATGAACAATCCCGAAATATTATCACCAGATGTGTTTGACGTTACGATTCCAGACCTCCTTCGCATAAGAGACTTACTTGCCACTAATGGTACTACTGCTGTGACATGGCGGGATCTTAAACCATACGCTCGAAAAGCTCTTGCATTTTTTGACACATGGCAATATCATTAATATATCTGTTTCTTAAATGATTTTTCAAGGAAAAACAATAAAATCAGAGAATCAAATCCGACATTTCTAAACTATTGATAATGAATAACAGCATATGCATTTGAAATATATAGAGATGTGAAGAAGTAATGTGAAGGCACTGTGTGGAGATTGAAAGTGACGGGTCTTCAGTTTGATATACATTCGCACATTGAATGCTTCCGTAGAAATGTTTTACGATTTCTGTGATAAAAGCCATGAGAAGATTGTTGGTGTATCTTGACACTCTATTACTCACACAACCAAACCTAAATCGAAACTAATACCTAAAGACTTCGTTTATAAATAATTTTAAATATCTTCTTGCGCTGAAATAAATTAAGAATTTTATTTTTCGAAACACATTTTTCGACGATTTGGACTTTATTATAAATGGTCCTGGTATAATTATTAGAAATAAAATAAAATCATTGAGTTCCAGCAGTTATGAGAATGTGTACAGTTTCTCTTGGTACGAATTTTATTATTATCGACGAAATAATTAATCAATGTGTTGATACGTTCATTGCCAAGATTATTTATGATCTATTTGTACTTTTAAAAATTTCTTTGTATGGTAATAAAATTTTCATTATCATAAATTCAGGAGTAGCCGGATGTTCGCCAATAAGNTGCCAATATTGGCGAAAGTTCACAGGATTCTCGTCAATTTATTTCTGGACATTCGCCAATTGGCCAAAGTTTATTGGAATTTCGCCAATATACCCATTTGACTTTCGCCAATAATTGTCGAAAGTCTTATTGGCGAAGATCCGATATCCCAAATTCAGCATCGAATTCTATAGGAAAATTCTTCGAAATAAGCAATAGAACTTATATGTGATATTGTTGGATTCGTCATGTAGAAAGATGAAATTGTAATGAAAACAGAGGATGTCGATATGAAAATTAGCTGTACCAACAATAACACCTCATCTGTGAAAGATTTGTAAATATTTCGATTCATGATACATATTTCTTATTTACTGATATATTTTATACGCATGACGACGAATAAAGACGAAATAAAAGAATGAACCCATAGAAAAAAAGCAACTAAATTAAATAAGAAGAGTGTGTGGGTAGTGGAGTGTAGGCCGTGCATAAGTGTTTCAGTGACTGCATTCATCCACACCCCCACCCTAGCTATGATAACCGAAAAATGTATCCATCCTTCGGGTTTTCACAGGTACTTTGATCAAATTGAGCTGTGTCTTTGTTTTTCCCTTAAAAATATTGTATCTATGAAATTTGACAATCTTTGAAAAAGTATTACGATTGAAAGAAAAACACGTTTTTCTTAGTTTCTTCAGTATATTGCCTCTCCTGAGGTACACGAACGATATTTTTCAAAGAAAAAGTAAGACATACACCAATTTCGTTCTAGGTATCACAGTAAGAATTGTAGCTCAGAAAGACAAGATGTGAAGTCTAGCGAAAAAAAACTTCTACCCATTTTTGGTCTTTACAACTCCTATAGCTTCCTAGAAAAATATCTGACAATTTTAAGTCTATGACAGATTTTGGTCTACTCATCGAAATCAATCTGTTCTAAAGGTTCCATACGTTTTTGTCGAGCCGTTCTCGAGAAAAAACCTGAAAAGAAGAGAAGTTCCTTTAAATAATGATATAACTAATCTAACTTCTTTTTTTTATATTCGATGTCCGAGGCCATTGTCTTCGTTCTATATGACATATCAATCTTTTGTCTTGTTCATTGGAAATTAACGGACGGGAATATTCAAAGAGAAAAAAACGTCCTGTCAACAGTTGATTGTATCAGTCCGATAGAAATGTATCGGCCAAGTTGCTTGCTTGAGGGAGAAAAAAGGAAAAGTGTATTGACTCACCGAACGAAAATTCATTCGCAATTTTAATTTTAATTTTAAGGGTGTGGGGTGGGGTGCGGATGTATTTCTATTCATCAGCAAAAACCGACACCCACACCCACACCCTCAAGATAGTTTCAACAGAATTTTTGAGCTAGGAGTATTTTTAAGATATCACAAGTGGAAATTTCTCTTGTAGAATGTACATGACACACAGTGCTTTTTCAATCAAGTGTGCAACAGCATATATTTTTCAGTGGCAAACATTTCGTACACTTTCGTTCGCTCGCTACACTTGTCATGAAAGATACTAAAGTAAGTACATCATCATCTCATATTCGAACCCACCTATTTTATTCTTTATTATAAAATATTAGAAATTGTTTTTCCCATTAGTCATGAATTTAAGAAGTGTTAATTAAGAAGGATATTTTCTTAATGAAAATGAACTGATATAACGTCGAATGAAATTCTAGTCTTGGATTTTATATTTTTAATTTGTTGGTAGTATAAGATGAAAAAATTTCGTCAGATAATCTTGTCTGCTTAAAGAAAAGTTCTCCATTCATTGGTATTGATGTTGCTATGTGATAAAAATCTATTTATACAATTTTTCCAAAATATTTTTTTGAATAAAAAATTCTTAGATCTTAAAAATAAAATTGTTGAATTGAAGTTGTCTCAAAGAAAGAAGATGCTCTATATCTATGAGTCACTATACTACAGACATTCATTGAATATTTCCAATAGAAAAAAAAACGTTTAAAAGGTAAAATTTGTGTATTTATTTGAAAAGAATAAACATGTGAATATTTTGGATCATGGAAAAATTTGATTTGTTTCGTTTTTAAATAATATGACAAATACATTAGAACTATTTCCTAATGAAATATTTATTGATATATTTGCTTATTTATCATGGGATGAAATGTTAACATTGTTTTGGTCATTAAATAAACGCCTGAATTCTCTTATTTGTTCAACTTTTTCAATAAATCAAAGTGGAATTACTATTATTCAACCAGGTTTGTCTTATGAAAGATTTTCATCGGAATTATTTCCATTAATATTTAATTCACAACTTACTTATTGTATTCAACATATTCATTTGGATGAAATCAATTCAAATTCTTATAATTTGTTCAATAATAATAGAAACATTCTTCATTATCCGAATCTGAAATCACTTATTTGGACTAAATGTTATTTATCCGAATTGTTAATTGAAAGTTTATCTTTACTTATTCAATATTGATTGAAAGAACTTCGATTAAGCATAGACACAGACATCTTCAGAGCACATCAATATGAAAATAAACCTTGGCTTAATTTTCCCAGTTCAGATAATTACTTTTCTTCTAATGAATAATTTAAGATTGAAATAGAAATAATTGATTGTTTAAAGAAAACTTGTTTTCGGAATTTTGTGTTTACAGAGAAAATAGCGATTGAAAACCTAAAGCAAGGATTTTTCAAAGTCGAATATCACTAAGTCTATCAATTTTATTGGGATAGACAGGACGATCGATAATACTGAAAGGAATCTTCTAGAGTTCTTTGTTTAGAATAAAATTAGCGTAAATATAAGAAGGTTCGTTCAAATTCATGATGGCGTATCATCACGGGTCGATCATTGTTCTATCGGGATCCGATAGAAATTCTGATTGTGGAAGCACATCAGGACCTGTTGTGTATAAAATCTGATCGGGGCCTATAGTCGATCCGAAACTATTCGATAGTTATATCCGATAGTTTTCCAAGGTTGTAATCTATTACTATTTAAATGGATGCTAACAAAAGGACCTGGCCAAAAATCATTAGATTATTCTTCATTCTGGAAATAGTGTAAAATGAAAGTTCCGATATTAGTTTGTCGAAATCTGGTGCCCTTTTTATGGTGTTTTTCAGTGCCAATTGGTTGAGTGCCAGCAAGACTGAGCCCACGTATTCAGCAAGAGAAAATACCTGAAAAAAAGGGCCAGATCTCAACAGACTAGCATCGGATTCGTTACTTACTCCCAAAGTCCTTTCATTTTATACTGTTTCTAGAATGGAGAAAAATCTCATGATTTTTGAACAAATCATTTGTAGAAATTAGGATTCAACTGATAGAATTCGAAGTAATTCCGTCACCTGGACTCCTATCAATTCTGTCAACTGATCGGATCTTACAAGATCCCATCGGGATCGGTATCCGTTTTTTTCATTTAGGATGGAAAATGAAATAAATATAAAGAAGATAGTAGAGCTAGATGAAAGAAAGTGTACGACCGTTGGCGGCATAAAGACCGACTTTTAAGGAAAAGAAAAACTCAAAATTTAAGATATTCAAATAAGAAAGATATTCCCTTTTGACAGATATATATCTTTTGAAGGAGAATCTATCTCTTACAAGAGCACGTTAAATGGCGAATTTTTTATCATCTTTGGTGAAGAGAATATAGTAATTTCAATTATCAATCTAGTGCCGGAAGGCATTGGGAGGTTTGTTTTTACAATAGCTCCATTCAATTTTCAGACGAATAATACTGAATGTAATGTTAATTAATTTCGAAAATAGTGATTATCTTATGGCATCGAGAAAAATAGATTCTAAGATGACGAACTATCACATAGTTTGCACTTCGATAATAGTTCAAAAAATGATGATTAAAAAATTTCATCATTGTAAATAAGGTCAAGTGCAGTGATAATACTGATCACAATCACAATTGGTGCCTGACCAAGAACTGGAAAAAGCAAAAATATCAGTTTCAATTTCATGTCATATTCGTATCTCACGTAATGAAGTTGAAATATATAGTAATCCTGCATGCTGAGAATGTTATACACGAATTTATATTTTCTCGAGCTAGTCCGTTGATTGTTAGAATAACAGACTCAATGAATGGATGAAGAAGGTTAACAAAAGAGATTTATAATTCAGTAAAAAGGTAAAACTTGTTTCACATCTACATTATGGTCAAGAATTTTAGTAGAGCAATACCGAGTTGTAGTATGTTTCTTCGTTAGAACTATTGACATGGTTTTTAGTGAATGGGTATAGAAGTTGCTAAAACATAAGACGTATCGATATGATATGATATTACTGGTAGCAATACATTATCAGGTCTTATCTGGTAGGAAGTGTTTTTCAGATTTTGAGTGAAGTATAAGAAAGAAAATAGGAGTTTTCGCAGAAGTTCGCATTGGATAATATTCGTTTGTCTTTTACTGTGTGAGTACTTTTTCACTCTAACAAATCGCCAGATTTTAGTCAAAATCAGGCTATCTTTGATTCGTGAGGGCGCGCACGTCACTGGTGCCAATACATGGGCCATTTTCGCTTAGTTTACGAGTTTGAATATTTATCAAAGATAGCGCCATGAAAATAGCCGTCTGTTAGAGTATTGACTGATATTGGTAATTGTAGCACTATCTAATATAGCATATTGTAAGGTTAAAATCCGCTTTTCAAGTACAAATCAATGTATTCAGGGCAGATGGTTTAGATCTTATCGAGAATTCTATCAAAAGGTGGCGAAAACTGAGTAAATCATGCAAATCGTCGGTTTTCATGAGAATTCGACTCAATGAGATGCAGCTTGTTAGCGAATCAAATTGGAATCAGTGAATTTTGGCGTGTGTGTGCGTGGCTGTGATGAAAAGACTTACACCCACAACTACACCCTGCACCAGCGCATGTTGAGGAAATTTTGCGAAAATTATTTCTGCGTTTGGATTTTTGAAAATTTTTACAGCAGACTGTGCACCCCACATCCATCTATACACTCATTCTAACATTAGCGGCAGCAGTGACTCAGAAAATTTTAAAAATTCGGCGCCATCACTGGTGGTGTTTAATCATTTTTTTGAAAAACCTGTGACGGCAACTTATACCTCTACTCAGGATAACGATCTTCCGTAAAGCTAGTATTGATATGTTGTAACATCTGTTAAGTCACTCTAAACATCCTGAAAAAATCAGTTCTAGACACGTTTATTCCGAGGAGTTATTAATAAAAAAAACTAACATTAGCGACGTGATTCAAAAAAGGACGCCGATTTTGACTTTATGCAGTTCAGCTTTAAAAAACTTTCAGTTAAGGTATCAAATTTGAAAACTGAAATGTTCTTTTTGAAGACGAATCAAGGCTTTAAAATAGTTGCCCGAAGTTCTCATGTATCATGCACAAATTTGAAAAGGTCGGAATCCTTCATCAGTATCTTGTGATGATGAAAAGAGAAATTTTGTTCTAGGAATTGATGAGATCTCTAAACGAACTAGGTTTAATAAGGTGAATTTTGCAATTCAATCGTACTGAAAACTTTGCCATAGATATAGCCTAATAATTGGTGTCTATGTTAGCACTTTTAGATATTTTTCTTCATATGGTTAGCCATTATATTTGATTCCTTTTTATGTAACTATTTAATTATAATTCAATGGGATATAATATATGTGATTTGTCTCCACAATGGTTGAAGAAAATATCATTCAGATTTTTACTGATACAGTGCACCTCAATCGGATTTCGCTCCTTTGTTTTTTAATGTTTTTATCACTGTACTTCTTTTATTTATTAATCAACTATATATAGGAAGAAAGGCCGGAATGTGATGCATCTTGTGGTGCATTTAGATCGAAGAACAGATAAAGTCTAAAGCATAAAAAACGTAACATTTTTTTCACGACAAAATTCATCCACATCTATTATCCATTTCGAAACAGAAGAAGATTAAATATTTTGGGAATAACTTTTGATAAAAACAGTATGCAAACCTCCAATTTTCGCCATGTGAAAGAGGAGATGAATCTGCATCGAGTTTTATATTCCAGATATTCTCGAAAATCTTTGGCAGTCTCGAGCTAAAGTTTTGGAAAAATTGACTTTTCTTGTTTTTTAACAAAGAATCCATTCTGTTCTTTTGAAAATAATTAATTTTTTCAAAAACTTTGGCTTGAGATTCTGGTAAAGGCTCTTATAAACATCTATATAGGACGTTATTAAATAAAAGAAGCATAGTGATAAAAACAAAGGTGGGAAAACAATCGATTGAGATGCGCTGTAATTTACATGATGATTTTAAATTTTTACATAATGTCAATGATATTTCGTTTGCTTTTTTTTCTTTTGATAATATAGCAAAACAACGATTATTGATGTTCAAAGAACTTATATGCGAACTATTCTCTAATAAATGTCAATTGACTTCTCTTCGACTTAATGTCCCTTGTGATAATAACATCCTCATTAATATTCGCCAATGTTTATCATTATCATCTCATCTTTGTAAAAGTTCAATTTCTAATAAAAATCAATATTGTTGTTACACTTTTCGTTATCTACATGTTCGTATTGATTACGAATGTTTTCTTGAAGACCTTATTGAACATGTACCCTGTAACGATAAATAATAAGGACCCTGTTTCGGGGTTGATATATTAAGACAAACTGGATCGAGGTGAATTAGCGTACAGCCACTCACGGCAATGATGTTTATTCGTGTATTCACATATCCAGAGTGTAACAACTTCATACATAACACACGTATATATAGGAGAGAGATAGAAGAGAGGCAGGATAGAGGTATATTATAACAATGGAAAGAGAACAGAAGGAAGAGGAAGGAGAATCATCGAAGCGTGCCATCAATAATCGTCACATACCCAATCTGGAACGATTATCAGTTTATCTGCGGTACTCTTGGGGTAGAAACAACGCAATGGATTCAACCGTTGGAACATTTGGACAATCAAATATAACTTGGTCCAATAAAGTAAGATACTTTGTTTTGAACTTCAGAAATTCTGTTTATTAGAAATGATTTTGTGCGAAGCAATCCTCGTAGTCTTAGTAACTATTGAATTATGATTTATATTTTCGGAGAAAAGTTCAGTTGAATTTGCTTGAGTAAAATTTATTGTGGAAAATCAGCAAGAGAGACAATCAAATTTTATAGTTCATGCTTGATTATGGGATGAAGACTTCAAATCTAAAACTTTTTTCATGAAAAACGCCATGTGCTCTTCTATCTCGCCGTCTTGCTTCGTTTGAATTGTTGTCAAAATCGACGACTTCCATTCTACAGCTGCTTTGTCGAAATTGTCACGGTGTGGGTGTGGGTGCTTTGTCTTAATCCAAACCACACCCACACCCACAATCCAACAAATGAAGTTCGTTTATTATCTAAAGGTATAATATTGGATACAACTGCTATTCCTACCTTCTCTTTTAAAAAAGATCCACGAATGGATTATTCATTAGCACAGGGAAATATATGTAATTTAATTCAACCTGTTACTAATTCTGAACAAAAAGACAAAATTAAACGTGCTCTTGATAAGCATGTTAAATTATTTGATACAACTAAACCTACAATTGTTATTAATGTAAAACCACATGCAATTAAAACTCTTGATCATTCACCACCATCATCCAAACCATATTATTCCACTCCAACTAAGCAAGATGCCATGTATATGATTACTCAAGAATTACTTCAGTTTGAATTAATTCGCCCATCTTATTCGCCTTATGCAGCACCCGCATTGCTAGTAGCTAAACATGATGTTTCATGGAGAATGGTAGTTGATAATAAAAAATTAAATAATATTACCATTAAAGATAATCATCCATTGCCAAATATGGAACAAACGATTCAAACATTAGGTGGTGGTTATCAATTCTTTTCGAAATTTGATATGAAAAGTGGTTTTTGGCAGATTCCAATTAGGGGTGTTACTTTATCTTTATTGATCTTTATATTAAACAATAAAGATAAATAAAACCTTTATATTTATAATATAAAGATAAATAAAATATTTATATTTATAATATAAAGATAAATAAAATATTTATATTTATAATATAAAGATAAATAAAATATTTATATTTATAATATAAAGATAAATAAAATATTTATATTTATAAAATAAAGAATAAAGAATTTATGAAATCTTTATTCTTTAAAAAATAAAGATAAATAAAATCTTTATATTTATAAAATAAAGATAAAGATAATCTTTATTTGTAAAAATAAAGTTAAAATAAAGATAAAGATATCTTTATATTTATAAAATAAAGATAAAGATAATCTTTATTTGTAAAAATAAAGTTAAAATAAAGAAAAAAGAAAGATTTTCTACAGTCACTGGTAAATAGATGAATAATTTGCATAACAACAGAAAACATTGATTGCCGTTCTTGCTTATCATCACTGACATTGCAGTATGAAATAATACCAGCAAATGAAGGTGAGGCATAAATCATTTATGGAAAAAAATCTAGTGTTCAAAATTTGATAGCCTTGAACTTCTTAATTTTCTTCGAGCTATCGGGAGAAGGCCAAATTTTGGGTTTTCAGGGGAAAATATTTTTCTTTATTCTTTATTTTATCGTTATTAAATAAAGATAAAGCTACTTTTTCTTTTTCTTTTTCTTTATTTTAAAAAGATAAAGATTATCGTTATCTTTACTTTATAAATATAAATATTTTATTTATCTTTATTTTTTAAAGAATAAAGATTTCCTAAATTCTTCATTCTTTATTTTACAAATATAAAGATTTCATTTATCTTTATTTTTTATATATAAAGGTTTTATTTATCTTTAAAAAGTAAAGTAAATATAAAGTAACATCCCTGATTCCAATTGAAGAATAAGATTGACATAAAACAGCATTCATAACACCTGAAGGTCTTTATGAATGGAACGTTTTAGCACAAGGTTTAAAGAACAGCCCACTATCATTTCAACGTGTTATAGCAGATATATTATCTTCATGTCATCAATTCGCATTGGTTTATATTGACGGTATTGTACGATTTATTCTCGTTCATTTGAAGAACATCTAGAACATATTCATCAAGTGTTATCAATTTTATTGCAACATAATTTCCAACTTAATCCCTCTAAATACAATATGTTTCGTCAACAAATTGATTATTTATCCCATACAATATCGAAACAAGGTGTTAAACCTACTAATGAAAAACGTTAAGCAATTATTAAATTACGAAAACCTTCCACATTAGCGGAAGCAAATAAGTTCCTGGGTGCCATTTCGTGGTACCGTAAATTTATTTCACGATTCGCCTCTGTAGCTGCGTCTATATACAAAATTACAAATTTAACGAAAGAAAACAGGAACAAATTTAGTTGGGGAGCACCACAAAAGGAAGCATTTTTACAATTGAAACAACTGTTGACAACTTTTCCTTTACTTTTAGACTATCCTGATGAAGACCATCCAGTTATTTTGGCAACAGATGCATCAAAAACTGGTGTTGGAGGGACATTGCAACAACCCATTAATGGTGAAATTAAAAATCTTTATTAGCACTCTCAAATAACATCATCTAGTCAAAGAAGATATGATCCAATTGAATTAGAAGCTTTAGCAATATGGTTATGTTTTCAACGTATGCGATCTTATTTACTTGGTCGATCTATAATAATATGCGCAGATCATTGTCCTTTATGTAAAATGATGACTTCATCTGTGAAGAATCCTCGAGTTGATCGTATTTCAGTATTATTACAAGACTATAATATTGAAAAAAATTATTCATATTAAAGGTCAAAATAATTGTTTAGCGGGTTATTTATCTCGTCATCCAATACAACCTAATGAAGAAATTTTCGACGAGGATTATGGTATTAGTATGTTATTTCAAGGGAAACCACCAGCAAAGGTGACTGTTTCTGTTAACAATTCTCAATTCATTGGTGCTGTTATAACACGTTCAAAGACAAAACAGATACTGCAACAACAAGATACAATCAATGCAACCAACACATTTATTAAAAATGAATCACCATCATCATCGTCAACTCAAGATACAGACAAGCAACAAAATGAACTTTCATCACATTTAATTTCATCTAATATGTTTGACATAACCAAGATTAAAGAAGAACAATTAAAAGATTCATTCATTCAAAATAAAATTAAAGAAATTATGGCCGATCCAACGAAGTATCCTTATGTATTTAAAGATGGTGTATTATACAAATTAATGTCAGCAAATGCAACTAACACCACAAAAACAAAATTGATTTATTTGCCTTCATCCATGATTAATTCTCTGCTTCAATCGTATCATAATGATCCACTCAGAGATCATTTTGATATTCGTCGTACTTATTTTAAAATTAAAAATAAGCTTTGATGACCACATATGAAACGATCAATTAGTCAACATATCCAATTTTGCTTACCTTGTCAACAGCATAATATTAATCTCTCCAAAAACCTGGATGACTTCAACCGACCTCAACATCAGAAGGACTATTTCAAATGATTGGTATAGATTATTGTGGTCCATTTAAACAAACCCCTAGTGGTAATCAGTACGTATTATGTATGACCGATTATTTTACCCGGTGGGTGACAGCAATTGCATTACCAGATTGCTCCGCACAGACAACAGCTCAAGCAATTTTTACAGCATATATTTGTCGATATAGTGTACCATTATCTATATTATCAGATCAAGGTACTCATTTTCGAAATCAGCTTATGGATTCTATGGCAAAATTAATTGGTTATCATCACATATTTTCGACTGTTTATCATCCGCAAACGAACAGAATGGTTGAACGTTTTAATGCAACATTTGTTTCTCAACTTGCTAAACTTCAAGATCGTGAACATAATAATTGGGATGAATATTTATTACCCATTATATTCGCTTATAATACGGAAATACATACAACGACTCAATATTCAACGTATCAATTACAATTCGGACGTGAACCACGTTTACCTACTTCGGAACCCTCAACATCGTTCATATTTAATAAACCTAATGATTATTATGACCAACTTAAAAAAAGTTTACTGATAATCCAACGACAAGCACATGGACATATCATTAATCGTCAACGACAATACAAAATTCATTATGATAAACAACGTCCTGATTCTCATTATAAAGTTAATGACTTCGTATTAATTAAGATTCATGGATTAAAAATAAAATTAGAACCAAAATATTCGATTACACCAAAAATTATTATTAAAGAACAACATCCTATGTATTGGGTCAAAGGTGAACGTACACAAATTGAATCTCGAGTACATGTTCATGATATTCGACCAATTATTATTTAAAAATTAGCGTGATATATTATTGTTTCGTCATTTGTTAATTAATCATTAAATGTTAATGTTGTGTCATATTTGCGATGATTTGATGTTTGATCATCACTGTTGTATGCGCAACGACTTAGTTGATCTAACATTGCTTCGTTATGCTGATGAATTTATTGACCTTTTAATTAGCGCGCATTAATTATCAATATATTCATTATTTATAGATGATTAGGATTAGCAATATTAATTAAAACAAATATAAACAAGTTACACACAGGAAACCTTCTTTTCAGAAGTGTTTCTGTTTTCATCGAACAATGTTATTAATGTTTTAATTTTACACCTAGTACCTATTTTATTAATATATTAACAATATCTATGTACGCAATTTTGATAGGTTTATTCATCAGAACGAATGATAAATTATATGGCTTATTTGTTTACTTTATTTATGTTTTTTTTTTATTTATTTTATATCAACTTGTTTAACTTTGTTTTCATTTAGTCATAATCATATCAGATAAATTCGTTCCATATCATTTACGTGATTTTAATAATCCTCCAGCTCATCTCAACGACAAGCAAAAATCGAATTGGATACGTACTGCACAAAAAACGCAGAAAAATTATCAAAATCAACAACAATATCCAGCATTTTATTTACCAACATCATTTTATGAAATTATAGATGTAAGTAAATTTACAACAACTGAAACAATGCAAAAATTGATTGATCATGTACGGCAATTGCCTTGAATTTACATTTGATACTGAAGGTGAGCGATCAAACAATCAATTAGCATTAATTCAGATTCAAACAATACCTCAACAATTACCATGTTTCGTCGTATTATTAGAATTATTACATTTACCATCATATGATACATTAATTTTCGTCAAAATTAAACAATTATTTCAATTGATATTTCAATCGAAAAGCAAATTATATTCGTGGGGGCCACTACGACGAGAATTGTATCCGGTTGTGAATTATGAATTGTGGGAGTGGCCTATTGCATCGCAAATATTTGATATTCAACTCGATTTTAGTGAATGGCTTAAATGGGCACTATTTCATTGTAAGGTGTGTAGCTCGTCATTACTTCAACATAATGTTATAAATGATGTTCGGTCAAATACAAATATTAGTTCATCTTCAACATGCACGTGTCATGAAGCAAATCCTTATCGTTCTGGAGAAAAATGGAAACTACAAGACGCTTTAATTTACACCTGTCAATGGTTTATCGATAAATCAATGACAAGTAGTTATTGGGCAAAAGGATTAGATCCACATCATTCATCATTATCAACGACAACACGAGAGAAAATGCTGCGTTATGCAATTTATGATTGCTTTACCACCACATATTTAGCACGTCCAGTTTTAAGATCATGGACATTTCAAAAGGTAAAAAGTACTAATGTAATTGATCTATTTCAGGCACCATCATTATCCTCATTACCTCACGAAAATAACATCCTCATCAATACCAATATTAATCTCCAAATTTAAAAAAACGTTATTGATAATGATTTAGAATTTATTTCTGAAGATAATGATGATGACGTAACAATTACTCAATGTCGTACAATTCCTGTTACTAATGTATTATATGCACAAATTTCAGATGATAAAATTTGTATTAGTCAAATGTTTAGTCCAGTTACAAAAACACAACCTGAACTTGAAGACGTTTCAGATGATGAGCAACAGCAACAACATCAACTTTCAGTTGCACAACATTCACCACATGCTCGACGACTTGATGAACGAAGACGTTGACGATCTGATGCAGCACGACAAAGACGAAACCGAAAACGTAATTATACTCACCGGTTACATCGTTACCTTCATATTTTAGTTCGTCGAATTTACCACCGATTCACCATGTCGCCAATTAAAAATATTCTTCGACAACATCATATTTATTATCGGCATGTAAAAATTGTTGCCTCATCATTAATTATTGGCATAAAAAATTCGACGTTTCAACACGAATTCGATCAATATTTACCGAATGATTTATTCGATCATGAACATTATTATCATCATCTTCGTCGCCAACCTTATCATCATCATCATAGTCGTCATCAATCTCATCATCATCATTAACATCGTCTTCAATTTGTTCAGTACAAACAAACACATCAGGTGCAATCAATGAAGAATAGCAATAGTAAACTATTTTTTTTATTTTTGCTGTTTCATACGTTCTTTCTTTTTCTACTCATTTCTGTATCTAGTCGGATGTTTTTCTTTTTTCATATTGACAAATATATATTCTTTTGTTGTTTCTTTTCTTTTTCGTTATTCTTAAAAACAAAAACTTTTTGTTGATCCGGGAAGGGTGTTAGGGTCTGACATCTTTATCTGTATGTTGGAGGTCAACATTCTCTTGTTGGTTTGTTTTCTCTCGTTCTTCCCCCTTTTGTTTTGTTGTTATGAAGTTGTTGTGTCTTTACGTAAATAAAGATAGCTCAGTGAACCCCAGGCATAATAGCTTGGATAACTCAAATACACCTCACATTTTAAAATAAGCATGTTCCCATGCATACAACTTCAAGCAACTCAACTATTAGTGAATATATTAACTACCATGGTCGAGCTTCCGTTATCTTTGCGGTTATAAAACTCCTTTCTACGTGCATCTATTGCTGTAAAAACATCACTGCCGTACGTACACACGCGCGTTCATACATGGAAGTGAATGAAAAATCGTGTAAACGCGCACAGTTTTAAATGACAAAACTTTGATCTGTTAGCACGCACCTTGTTCTCAGTATTTTACAGTTTAAACACGCATGATTCTGCATGAAACAATGATGAGAGATCTTGTTCGTTGAAACGCCTCGACTGTTGTGCTTTATGACGTTTTAACATACAAATCTTTGAGCGAAATAAGGATGAAAAATTTCGTCACCTAAAGCGCCCCAAATTTTGTGTTACTGACCGTTTAAAAGCTGAAATTCTGAAAATAAATATCGACGCAAATATTTGCATTTAAAAAAAAGTTAAATCATTCATTTTCAAGCAATAGAACTGTTATCAATTATCGTTCAAAGCGTCACTGTAAAAATGTTGCGAAAAATGCACGAAATTAATGCTTTTCTGATAGTTTACACGCGCGTGAGAAGAAACGACCATGTACACGGACATAAAGCTAGGCTTCCAGACATTTACACACCTCGAAATATTGAATGAAAAAAGATCACGTTCGCACTGAAAAATTCATATTCTCTGGTGTTTACAGGACCACTTTTTTCCACACGCGTTTAAACACTCAGAAAAAGCTATATTATGATGTTTACACGCGTTTTTGAGAAAGTTTGCCTGCTTCGGTTGATGCAACTATGAAACAATTTAATTTGAAACTTATCTCCAGTGGTAGTAATAATGAAGACAAAAAATCATTTTTAGAACAGTTAAATCATTTGTATTCACAATCTATTGTTTGTAATGCCTAAGGTGAATGGCAATTTTTGTGTTTTGATGTTCTTTCTATTATAATCAATATATACGTACACTAATCTTCCGCTACTTGCTGATCATCCTTTTTTCCTTCTCAATGTACATCTGAATGTATTATTTTTAGTCATCTATAGATATTGCTTTTTCGGTGGTATTTTTTCTTTTGTTTTTGACCACACGCAATGTTCTCTATTTTTGGTTGATGTGTTGCTTCGATTTTGAGAATGCAATAAAAGGGAATAAACATAAGCAAAGTTTGTTTTTGAATCAATTCTTTTTCTTTTTGTTTGTTTATTGTACATATTTTTCAAAGATGACACATGATTGTATTGTTATACCTGGAGGTGGTACTGATTTAAATGGATCTCCATCAGCTTGGATATGTGCTCGTCATGATCGAGCCATTAATATGCCTTTGTCTGCATCTTATTCTTTGGTTTTAAGTCGTGGTACAACACATCATCCGCCTGTAATTGATAAAAATTCATTTCCGATTGATGAAGCAGCAGCTAGTGCTACTTATTTTGCACGTCAGTGTATTATAGAACCGATGGAGCCGCTATGGCTGGATGGTTAAGATGTTCGGCACATATCCACAAGATAGTGTGTTCAAACCTCGGCGCCATCATCCATAGAATAACCTTGGATAAGTTACTAACGGCTGCTTTGTCTCGGATCACCCATCCGATAGCACGCTGATTACATGTGACATACATAAAAATATCCTCGTGGATAGTATGTGGTTAGTCAGTATGCATGGGAAGCTTAAGTAATTAAGCGGAAGGAACTCTGAGTCAGGCCGGCCTTCTGTCCAGAGCTGCAGCTAGTAATACTTGTAGGAAAAATATCGGGCTCTTGAAACTGTCTCCGGACAGCTACCCTATACTGAAAGGTAGCCGCAAGGCAAGGGTATTCTTTCTTCTTTCTTTCTTTCTATAGAACCGATGGAATTGCATCGTTTAACTGTTATTACAAATGATTTTCATATGACTCAAACAACGCTTATTTTTGATTGGATTTTTTCATTATCAACTTCAGCAATAGATCGTTGTGAAAAATGCTCCATTGAATATTTTACGGTTAGCAATCAAGATATGACAGATGAACAATTAGTAGCACGTATTGACAAAGCACATAGTGCATGTGAAGATGTAAAAACAAAAATACAAAAGATAAAAAAATTTTCTCAAATGGCACAATTTTTATTTATTGAACATGGAGCATATAAAGTAGAATTTCTTCATTCACGACGAAGTCAACTTGATTCGTTGACTGCATCAACATATTAATATTTCTCATACTCTAGATACACATATCTATATCAAACGAATTTATCAAAGACATTTACATGCACAAAAATATTTGAATTAGACAAATAAAACGACATGTAAAATATTCATGTAATCATATGAATAATATCGAACAGACGACTTGTTTTCAATTTTTGCATTATTATTTTTTTCATAAATAAATGATTCAATTTTTGATATCGGCTATTTCTTTATCGAAATCTAACAAATCTACTGGAAATAGTGTCAAATTTTAGTTACCTACGTACAAGAAAAACATAGTTTAAAAAATTTTTTCATTGTAATTTTCAAATACAAATAATATTTTAGCCTCAATCTATCGGAATATGTTCAATCTAAAGATTGGAGAAACTACTCTATCGTATTATTAGATCTTCATACATCACAACTAGATGCTCGAAACAAACTGATTCAAAGCGCTAATAATCAACTGTTTCCTACATGAGGTTAGTCTAGTAATCCACTCTTGTTGTACGAACTGAAAATTGTTTCTTTGATCCTATCGAGGATATAAATTATTTCATCTGTGAGAGCATTATAAAAATATTTACAGTATGTAATTACTAGCAAAGGAAATGAAGAAGTAGTATAAGAGGCAATTTTAGTGTGCTTTCTTTATTCATTTCTATATAGAAGATATTTTATGTTGAGTTTAAAATCATTAAATAGATCAACAGTAAAAGACTCTTTTTGTGCTGCATATAAGCATGACAAAGATTTCACTATATTTTTAATCATGCAGATAGGTAAGTCGACTTTATTCATTTGTGTTCACAATATTTATTCATGTTCGTTTCGTTTCGTTTCGTTTCGTTTCAAATCAAACCTGCACTACTATCTACTGCTCACTCTTCTTGTATTTGTGTAAAATATTGAAGACTTTTGCTAGAAAGAAAAATTAATACACACTTCAGATGTAAATAAAATCTAAAACTGTATTTCTCTATTGAGTTCAATGGCATATATGAAGACAAAATAGTGAACAGCAAGGTTTTCAACATATATATTTTCTCTCAAACTACTGAACTAGTTCAAAACGACTGAAATTCTAGATGATTTTGACTGATGAAACTACCCTGCAAGAAATTACATAGTTATTGGTAACAATTCTTCTTTCTATAGATCTAATACATTTTAAAACAACATGTCAGCGTAATGTCTTGTGCAGATTGAAGAGATAAAATGAAATATAGATATGTAATCGAAATCTACTACATATATGCCTGTATGCTAAGCTATTAAGTTGTTCTCTTGTACAAATAAATTGTATATAGTTTGAGAATGATCCAATAATTTTATTATAGCAAAGATATGTATGTTAAATGAAAACATAATAGACACCAACACCCACACCCACACCCACACCCACACCCACACCCAGTTATTAGAACAGTGGAAAACATTAGTAGTTAATTTTATTGACTGATCCTAGACATTGGTTTTTTTCATTACAAAGTTCTTCCTTATTGCCAATCAATTTATTCGCTTCTGTGGTTGCATTCAAAATAGCATCCTTTTCTAATGCGTGAATTTGTCGAAAAAGTCCATGTTGATCATCACAATCAAGCTGTGATTTTGCACTATCATGAAGGACCAAGGTAATACCTGCGATAGCGACCTAATTTAAAGAAATCAACATGAAATGATTGAATGATAGATGCATAGCTTGTTTTCATACTGTTGCGTCAAGTGACGTTTGCAGATCATTGATGCACGATGTCTGAGCCATGGCAATTGCATTGGAATCGATAGCACCTATGGCTCGTTTTTGAGCAGCATCAATAAAAATACTGCATACTTCAGGAATGACACTTATCGATGTCTCATACGTGCCCTCTATTAGCCCACTCGATTGTCGACATTGACCAGCCGATAAATTGATCAACGTATATGATTGATAGACATATAAATTGTAATAATAACCCTACAAAAAAGGAGATGATCATGACTTAAATTAATACTACACATTATGGAATTATTGAAACATACCTGATTGTCGACTTGCACTATAATACATTGTGTATTGTGAAAATGAGTCCACGATGAACCAGCTGATATCGTCGCTGATGTGGCCGATGTAGTGCTATCGCACAATGGTGGACTTTCACTACTACCAATAATCATACAAGGGGATGCGCCATGGAATATCAAGACGTACTAGAATAGCAAAAGATTCAATTTTTTTCTTCGTACAATCGTGACAGATGAAAAGAAGTAATTCTTACATTAGTAACAAGATAAGGACACGCTGTAACAAAAATATATATCGAAACGAAACTATTACCAATGAGCAAACTCCAGCCCTGTCCTTGATAAAGATATTGAGTTTGAGGTCCCCCATACGACGATGCAAACGGAGTCAGATGAGGATCACCAGTACACGAACATTTACCATAAAAACATGGCTGTTTTGTTTGATTTGCTGTTGGTTGATATGGTATCTCTAATACAACAAAAATAATGATAACGAAGATTTCTTTTCAGATCATAATGCTAGAGAAGAGTAACGACAACAAATTATTATCTTAGTGCATCGAGTCTTGTGTTTAAATACTGTTCTATTACTGATTCTAGAACATATTTTTGTTCAAATAAAGGACGCCAATTGACATGATTTTCATATAAGTTTTGCAAATTATAAACTACTTATCAATCATCGACTTTTGAATAGACTATAGTAGGCATTGAAAAGCCATTAGAACCAGTAACTCTAACAACAAGGGTTATTTTGTTTGCCTAAATATATATATTTATATATTGATTAAAGACCGAGCATTAGGGGTGGACCGTTGATTTTAATTTGAGTTAATTAAGTGGTTTTGTTTCACACTTAATATTAAAGTAACGTAAATTGCCATCCATAATCCTGAGTTCTCGCGTTACCCATGCAAAAGAAATTGAAATAATAATCAGATTTTTTACGATTTTGTTTCACATGGGTACCATTGTGGCCATAGCTTTATGTGTTATTATCAAGTGCCTATTCCTTTCGAGGGGTAAACAAAAAGAGCATTTTTTCTACCTATTTCTTTTCTTATGATCATGTTTTCGAGGCGCAATAGGAGTAATTGAAATGATATTGATTAAGAACAATAGATGTAAGTATTCACACGTACCATGGGCATAAATTTAACAAACAATCTGTTTGAAACATGCAAATTCAATCCTATATCTGAATGCCGCATCAGTCAGAATCGAAGATTTGTGAACGGAAAAGTAAGATACTAGGGCGTCACTTATCCTATGTATACTTGTGATGTTAATGTGAATTTCTTACAAATCAACGGAATGGAATCAATTCTGGTGAATTTATTAAATTGCATGAACATGTTGAAGAGATTTCACAGTTTACCAGCCATATCAAATTGATTGATATAAGAAAAAAGCTACAAGCTCTCGATAGATTTTTAAAAGCTGTTTCTTATTAGTATAACCGTGACGCCAAAATACATCGTTCTATCTCTACACTCGTGCTATCTATAAGCTCACTGTTGGCATTAGAATGAGCACACTAGTCGTACGTGTCTGAAAGGTGATACTATAATTAATGCGCTGCAAAGCATATCATTTATGTAGTCCGTCGCGAGTTTTTGTTCTTTTTTACTTGACCGTACGCATCATTTTGTCGTTTTGTGACTCGATTCTGTCGAGAACCAAAAATGATAAAAACCTCGTTTAAATCCAAGATAGAACTATCGAGATCGAACTGCTGACACCTGCTTTCGAATCTTCAATCTGAAGTTCTGTTCACTCACAAATGTGGTTCCAAAATGATGAAAACGAAAGAAATTTGTTGCAAGATAATTAAAGTGACGTCATAAACATATGATAGCCACTACAGTCTGTTCATTTACAGCTGATCTAAGATAATGAAACATGGAGATAATTAATCGATCAATCGAAATCGACCCTTAAGAATGTATCGCTAAGTAAAAATAGAATTTTCTCAGTGATGAATTGCATTAGAGCTATACAAAAACTACTTAACATCTATCAACTGAAGATTTTTCGTAGGAGACACGGATTATTGCTTCGCATTACATTTCGTACACAACTGAAACTCGAAAACCATACAGTTTCAGTTCTAAATTTACGGATCACCAACACCGTTTTTTAGGAGAAAACAATCTGATCGTCAAAAAAACATTTTGAATGATTCTGAAATTCGATTCACAGACCAATATAGCTTTCAGCATCACCTACCATTTCACCAACGAAGTCATGAAATTCCTTCACTACTTTTAAAGAGAAAGTAGTAGACCGCAATTTTCCCAGCTATAACTGGTTCACCTTACTGTATACCACTACACTTTCTTCCAGGCCACGCCTGTGCTTAAATGTAAACACAAAAGTAGTAAACGAGCGAAACACACTGTGATGATTATTAGGACAAACTCGCATAATCACAGTAAAAGAAGAATTAATTTCATAGGCGAAGTGACGAAAAACGTAATTCAACACAACATTTCGCTCAACCCAAGAATACAACACCAAAAAAGCTTTTCCCTCTACGAGACGAGACAGATACCGTACCCGAGCATACAAGGCCCAAACCCCACCCAGTGCTTCTATAACCAGGTGCACAGGCGCACTCCACTGCATTTGTTGTAGGATCATGCGAGCAAGCGGCGTTTGGATCACAATCTCCATTATTGACAGTGCAGCTATCTGAAAAGATAGAAACACGAGGAAATATTCATAACCATACACGAAATCATCATACCTACGCACTCTCCCTCGACAGGGCTACCAGTGTTGGTATAACCAACTGCACACCTGCATATTTCTGCAAAAGTCCTAGGATCATGTGAGCAAACACCGTGTGAGCCGCAAGCTCCATTATTGATAGTGCAACTATCTAAAACAGAGAAATGGCAACGAACTGTGCCTAATTCCATCCAAACTCATCATACCTGTGCAGACAACGTTGCTGGCGCTACCAGTGTTGGTATAACCAGGTGTACAGATGCATTCTACTTCATTTGTCGCACCATCATGTGAGCAACGCGCGTTTTGATCACAACCTCCATTGTTGATAAAGCAAGTATCTGAAGAGACACAAATCATGAGGAAACGTATCTAATTCGATCCGAAATCATCATACCTCTGCAGAAAACGTTAACGTCGCTACCAGCGTTGGTGTAACCAACATTACACGTGCATTTTACTGCATTTGTTCCAGAATCATGTGAGCAAGTGGAATTCGGATCACAATCGCCAGCGTTCACAGTGCAACTGTCTGGGAATATCGAAACAACGAGGAAATTTATTCAATCTTCCGCGTAATAAGCATACCTGTGCAGACAACGTTGACGTCGTTACCAGTGTTGGTGTAGCCAGCATTACACCTGCATACCACTGCATTTGTCATATCATCATGCGAGCAAGCGGCGTTTGAATCGCAACCTCCATTGTTTACGGTGCAACTATCTGGAAAGAGAGAAGTTACCAGAAAATATCTCTAACCCTACGGAATATCATCATACCTGTGCAGGCAACGTTCGCCGTGCTACCAGTGTTGGTATAACCAGCATTGCAGCTGCATACTACTACATTTGTCACAACATCATGTGAGCAAGCGGCGTTTGTATCACAAGCCCCATTGTTGACAGAGCAACTATCTAGAAAGACGCAAATCATGAGGAAACGTTGATAATCCTATCCGGAAACATCATACCTGTGCAGGCAACGTTACCGGATGTATCAGTGTTGGTGTAGCCAGTTTTACACGTGCATATTACTGCATTCCACGGATCGTGCAAGCAATCGGCGTTTCCATCGCAACCTCCATTATTCACAGTGCAGCTATCTGGAAATATAGAAATGACGAGCGAATGTTTCTAATCTTACCCGAAATCATCATACCTGTGCACACAACGTTTCCTGTGCCACCAGTGTTGGTATAACCCGCATTGCATGTGCATCTTACTTCATATGTCACAGGTTCATACGAACAAGTGGCGTATTGATCGCAACCTCCATTCTTAATAGTGCAACTCTCTAGAAAGACAGAAATCATGAGGAAATGTGTCTAATTCCATCCGAAATAATCATGCCTGCGCAGACAGACTTGACAGCACTACCAGTGTTCGTATAACCAGGTTTACAGCTACATTGTATTGCATTTGTCGTAGCATGATGTGAGCAAATGCCGTAATAATAATCGCAGTCTCCATTATTGACAGTGCAACTATCTGAAAGATAGAAATCCGGACGCATTCTTTCTAGTATTACCGGAAATCATCATACCTGTGCATACTGGGCTGGCGGCACTGCCAGTATTGCTATAACCAATTCCACAGGTGCATACTACTTCATTTGTCTTAGCGCGATGTGTGCAAACGGCGCGTGCATCGCAACCTCCATTATTCACAGTGCAACTGTCTGAAATATAGAAATCACACGGATATGTTTCTAATTCCCTCCGAAATCATCATACCTCTGCAGACAACCTTAACGGGGCTACCAGTGTTCGTATACCCACTTTTACAAGTGCATTTTACTGCATTTGTCTTAGTATCATGTGAGCAAGCGGCGTTTCGTTCACAAGCTCCATTACCGACAGTGCAACTGTCTGAAAGATAGAAATCATGAGGAGCTGTGTCTAATTCAATTCGAAATCAACATACCTTTGCACACAACCTTAACGGCACTACCAGTGTTGGTGTAACCAGCTGTACAGGTGCATTTTACTGCATATGTTGTCGCATCATGTGAGCAAGCCGCGTTTGAACCACAACCTCCATTGTTTACAGTGCAACTGTCTGAAAGATTAAAACCTCAAGCCATTGTTTCTATTCATAACCGAAATCATCGTACCTGTGCAGGCAACCTTTACGGCGCTACCTGTGTTAGTATAACCAGTATTACAGCGGCATATTACTTTATATGTCGCGGTATTATGTGAGCAAGCGGCGTTTTTGTCGCAACCCCCATTGTTCCAATTGCAGCTATCTGGAAACAGAGAAATCACGAGCGAAAGTTTCTAATCTTACACAAAATCATCGTACCTCTGCAGACAACCTTAAGGGCGCTACCAATGTTTGTATAACCAGGTTTGCAGAGACATTGCACTGCATTTGTCTTTGAAACATGGTAGCAAGTGGTGTTTGGGCAACAACCTCCATTGTTCACAGTGCATGTATCTGGAAAGACAGAAATAGAGAGGAAAAGTTTCTGACTCTACTCGACATCATCATACCTTTGCAAACAACTTTGAGCGTGGTACCAATGTTGGTGTAACCAGGTTTACAGGTATATTTGACTTCATATGTCTTATGATCATGTGAGCAAGCAATGTTCTCGCCGCAATCCCCATTGTTCACAATGCAGCTATCTGGAAACATAGGAATCACGAACGACTGTTTCTAATCTTCCACGAAATCACCATACCTGTGCAGACAACGTTATCGGAGCTACCAGTGTTCGTATAACCAGTTGTACAGGTGCATTTTATTGCATATGTCTTAGGATGATGCGAGCAAACGGCGTTTACGTCACAATCCCCATTGTTCAACGTGCAAGTATCTGGAAACGTAAAAATCACGAGGAGAAGCTTCTAATCCCACCCAAAATCACCATACCTCTGCAGACAACGTTAACGGCACTACCAATGTTCCTAAAACCAGCATTACAAGCGCATGCTACTCCATTTGTCTTAGGATCATGGCGACAAGTGGCGTTACGATCACAAGCACCATTGTCGACAGTGCAGCTATCTGGAGTGATAGCAATGATAAGGAAAAGCCTCTGTTTCTATTGGAGATCATCATACCTGTGCATACAACGTTAATGGCGGTGCCAGTGTTGGTATAACCAGCTGTACAGGTGCATTTTACTGCATATGTCGCGTCATCGTGTGAGCAAAAGGCGTTTGGATCGCAAGCCCCATTTTTGACAGTGCAACTGTCTGAAATATAGAAATCACACGGATATGTTTCTAATTCCCTCCGAAATCATCATACCTCTGCAGACAACGTTTACGGCGGTACCAGTGTTGGTATAACCAGGTTTACAGGTGCATGTCATTGTACGTGTAATTGGGTCATCTGAACAAAGAGCGTTTTGATCACATCCGCCATTGTTTTCGCTGCAGCAGCCTAAAACAGAGTAGGGTTTTTGAGAGTGTTGGTGTGAATGTCTTGGTCAGTGCCGATTCGGACAAGGCTAGTGTCGTGCTCAGCTAGTTGACACGCTGACGTACCGAATGGCAAACAGGGGGTGATAACTGAATTTCGTAGAGAGTAGGAATTTCGTGAAATTCGAGAAATTTGATGGAATGGGTTGTCTGCGTAGGAATGTTTCGAAATGTGCAATATCGTGGCAAGGGGGGCACCCTAGTCCTAATCCTGTTCATTCCTTGAGATACCCTGCAAGGGTCGTAGGATCCCGAATCTCCAGGACCTTGGCAAGGTTTCTTGAGAGTCCTGCTTCGAATCCTAGTAACTCTTGTTTCCAGGGTTTTTCAAGGTGAAACAAGATGCTATACAGGAAAGCTTCAGGTTCCTAGTCAGATATTTTTCTGAACTGAGAATGCAGGATCCTTTTAGGATTTACTCAAGAGCCTATCAACGATGCTCTCAAGATTTTGAGAAAGGATTCTGTCAAGATTTTATGGGGTTCCCTTCTGGGCCTCGTCAAATTTTTGTATCAGGATCCTGTTAGGATTGATAGCCACATCATTGAGAGATCTTGAGAAGAAAGAAACAAGAACAGTCACAATGTAAAACTGACTAGTCCTGGATCGGTTCAATCGGGGTCGTGTTCAGATATTTTCATGAATAGGCGTTTGCCAAACCTTGCAATACAATATCAATCTTAATCGGAATGTTGATAAGAAAATTTAAGGGTTTAGCAAAGATCTTTACAAGGTGCTGCTTAGTGCGCTCGACCATGCCCATTTCTTGGGATGGATTTGAAGGATCCTGTCAGGTTTGGTTCAGAATTCCATCCAGAATTTTTTCAGATTGTTGTTTGTTTTTTTTCTGAATTGAGTTTACAGGATCCTCCTAAGATACACTGGCAATTCTATTCAGGAATCTGAGGAAAATTATAAAGAGAATTTCCTCAAGATTCTATTACGTTTAAGTGAAGATTCGTGCTGAATCTTGATAGAAGGATCCTGATAAGTGTTAGAATTATATCAAGAATAGAACATGATTATTCTGAATACTCAACTAAGAAATCCTGGCAAACTTCGATCAGGTTTTTGAGAGGAACTGCTCAAGATCAGGTATTTCGAATGCTTAAGAAAGGATACAAGTATGGCCAGGATCTTGATAAGAAAATACAAAGAGCCAGTCAAGATCTTTCCAGGTTGGTTTCTATAGCCTATTTCAAATTTAATTTTCAGGTTCCTATCAGGAACCTAGCAAGAATGCGTGAAACAGTTTCGTCCCGTTTTTAGCTTGGTTTAGATCATGATCCTTTCAAGATTTGGAAATCTATAGAGCGTAATAGAATTTCAGTAAAATTGTTGAGCAAAATCTTCACAAAATAAATTGAAGAATTCTTCAATATGTCATGGTTTTCTTTTGTTCAGAACACAACATAATTCTGACAACTGAAGAATGTGCTGGTATTTTTAACCTCGCTTTGATCTGGGGCTGCTTTTTGTAAACAAAAAGAAGGATTCTTAACAATCTTGGAAAAAAATATTCTAAATCACTTTGAAGTTTGTATAAAACCTGTTTTGAGATTTTAATTATAGTACGGAGTTAGTTTTGAATGCTACCAGGAAATGAAAATTGAAAATCATTAAATTAGGATGTTAATTGGAATTTACACATCGGAAAATGTTTTCGTTAAATATTTAATTTTAATTTTAGTCAACAGCAAATTTTTCGAGAAAACTGCTTATAGTTTTCATTATGTTCGAAAAACAAATTTGCAAATGTATTGTTTCAATCGAATTAAAATTTAAAAAACTTCAGGTATACCTTTAAATAGAATTGAAATTTAAAAAAAACAGTAAATTTCACCGATTAAAATAAATGTGTAAAATGATATTGTATTTTCAGAAATTTTTTGAAATAATTTCTATGTATATAATATTCAAATAGAAGTTTGCATTAGTCAGAAAATAATATTTTGAACGTTGAAGTGATATAGAATGACACGGCACATCCAGCTTGGTAAGCTGATCGATATGTAAACTGAAAGTCTAGAGATCGATACTCTATGGGTTCATTTCTCTTATTCATTCTATTTAGAAAAATCCTACAAAGATCTTGTCAAGAAATTTGATAATATCTTCGAGAAGATCCAATCAAATCCTGAAAGGATCCTACACTTTCGTGGTTGCCCGTTTCTTTAAGGAATCATCGATTTCCTGGCTCAATCTTGATTTAAAAAACAATGGTGAACTTGTCAGGATCCTAAATTTCCGTGACTACACACTTTCAGGATTTAGTCGTTTCCTCAAGAAAAAATAGCGAATCCTTGCAAGATCCTGACTATATCTGCCAAGGATCTGACGCTGAAACATCAAAGATTTTCCCTAGGGCATTCTCACTAAATTGAAAATGATATTGTTTGCCTGGAAATTTGTTGCCGTATCATTAAAGAAAAAGTGCCAAGCAAAACTCATGTTACTGTAGGTATAGGTTGGACAAGTGTCATTCGTAAATCTGCAACTTCATGGAATTGATGTGAGTCGTCATGAGGCAACAGGGTGGAATGGCTAAGATCGAAATTATCGTAGAATATTTCACTTACAAAAGTTGGCAACATCATAGATAGAAGTAGCAACATCAACATGCGCTTGGTTTTTTTCTCGCAATCATACGGAAATGAATTTCGTTGAAAAATTCATCAGAAGAAGGAAAGTGAAAGCATTTTTTTGGGATTGCATGAACAAATGAGATAGTTAAACGTTATATTATCAACTCGGGTTGCCTTAGATGACATGAAAATGTCGCAAAACTATAACGAAAGTAAAAGAACCGGGAGACAGTTCTTATTTTGTTTAGGAAGCAACTTGAACCATCTAGATCAACCAATCTGCTAGAAGTGTAGCTGTCACAACATATGTCTTCATTATACAGCAGAATATCAAAGGTATATAAGATTTAATCTATAAACTTACTGTGTGCAAATCCACCGTGAAATGCTTGTAACAAGAATGCCAGCAATGGTAACCATGCATAAAGCAAACGACCATATAATGCCATTTTGCGAATCAACAGCTTCGATTTGGGTGAGTTGGAAAGTATTGTGAAAATGAAAAAAATCCGAGGATTTATAGTGCTCAATAAATCTGGCGCAGCGAGAGGGAGCACATATTGAAGAAACAATCGAATGTGATCGCGTAACAGCTTGTGTCCATGAAGTTGCATGATTATGGGCCAGGCAGATGTCACACATATGTGTTTGGTGAATAGTTAATGATNGTGCCAGGCAGGTGTCACACATATGTGTTTGATGAATAGTTAATGATTTGAAAAATCAACGTCGCATTTTAAAATAATCTCGAAATAGATTTAATAGCATCCCACGTTGTTGCCATGTACGTTTTTCTGTGAACTGTAAAATTTCGAGGATTTATGTCATCGTTTCTTCAAAGTCACGGCCTCCAGAAAAACGTTTTTTTTTGTGAAAAATCGTAAAAGCAAGATCATAATCATAATAAAAGTCATAGAAAAATGTATCGTTTTAGATCTTAAAATTTTCACTACAACATTAACACATTCACATTATTCTTTTATCAAGATCTGCAATAAGATTTTAGACACAGATTTGTAAAAGTTTGGTAACACGTATCATAGACCTTCAGTTTGTTTTTGTTTGCTTTTTATGAGTTTTATTATACCTATTATATACTTATGTAAAATCGTGTACATCGATTTTTAATTATCTTCGAAAAGAAAAAATTGAAGGTAAAGAACATCGTTTTCCGCTTCTTCAAGAGAAAGATCTTGACAGGTGTGAGCCTTCAACCAACCCACACCCACACCCTGCTCCGCGTATTCTTCGAAAGCCTAAATCCGAACAGGACTAATTGGTATATAAGAATATCTTCTGGACAAGAATAACATTTTGTACATCATCTATTAAAACTGACTGTTAGTTACATGAGCTGCTCTCGTGTCTTATGAAGCCTGAATTTAGGATAAACTTTAGTCTACTCAAACCTCATGGTTTTAACCCCAATGCTTATAGTTTCTATATCGTTCATGTACAGTAAAATCGCAAGCTCACACACAAATTTTCATCGAATAATCATTGATATCGTCTTTCTTTAATCCCTCTGCTATTCATGTCTAGTGGAGTAACAAAGGGATGGACTATCCAATGCACTTTAGTGTTAAGTAACTAATTATATACTATGAAAGATATTTTTTTACAGTCTTCCCAATGACTTACCACGAATCAAAATTCAAAAAGAATGGTGTGTTGTTATTGTTGATAGAAAAAATTCTTACTACCAACATCGTTTGTCTATGTTTTTCCTCATGACTTCTTATCTGTATTTTATGATAGGACGGCATTTATTTGCTCTGTTTGCTCTAGCTCCTTTTTTATGCTTCTCAAGACGCATAAAAGTATAAATTCTTCTAAAAAGAACGACATAAAGAAACACTAAAATATTTAGTATGCGAGTAAGCGATGGAGTGGTGACAAAACAAGATAAATTTTTATCTCTATAAAATTTTTTTCTCTGGTTTCGAGTGAAGAATTTCTTTAAAAAAAATGATGTTGACTATCACTACAAGACGACACATCATATCTCTTCTCGATATTTCTATTATTCATTATCAACAAACAAGGATTCTTTTTATTAAATATTTTACATCTATCTAAAATTGAAAACGAAACTAAATCAGTAAGATTATATTGCGATTCGATACTTGATTGTATCTCTCACTGAAAGCAAGGGAAAGAAGACGCGCAACAAACATTTGAATTTGTACTTCAAGCAGGTTCACATTCTCACAAGAATATCTGTAAAACAATTTTGATTCATTCTGGCCGAATAATGTTCTTTTCAATCGAATATATATGCTGTAAATTGCGAGAAATCAATAAAATATTTATGATAAAATATAGGGGTGCCACACTTCCTATTACCTTCACTTACACTTACCATGGTAATAGTAAGTGATTTAACTTACTACTTGCCAGGTAAGTGGTAAGTGATTTTACTTATTACTTACCAGAAAGTGGTAAGTGATTTAGCTTACTGCTTACCAGAAAGTGGTAAGTGACTTTACTTACCGCTTACCACGTAACTGGTAAATGATTTTATTTACCACTTACCAGGTAGCTGGTAAGTGGTTTAACTTACTTACTTTCCAGTAAGTAGTAAGTGATTTTACTTACTGCTTACTAGGTAAGTGGTAAGTGATTTTACTTACTACTTGCCAGGTAACTGGTAAGTGATATTGCCTAGTAATTAGTAAGTGATTTCACTTAGTGAGCGATAAATAATATTTCAGTGTAAATGGTAATTGATTTATTTTTATGTGGTCATTGACCGATAAATACTTTTGCATAATTAAGCCCTATTACAGGAAGCACCGCCGAGTTGTGGATTACCATAGCGCAGCAATATCATTAAGTTCTTAAGTCATTCTGTAAGAAAATGACTTCTAGTTTTGAGGTGCTATTCGACGAAAGTGATGAAAATGCTCGTAAATCTTCTAGTCCTTCTTTGATTGGATGTCAATGAGTCGTCCAATAATTATATAGAGGTACTTACAGGTAAAATTGCTATTCTCAGTAGTAGTTTCATTTACATTTACCAAAAAAGCTGTATTTTTATCATTGAAAATTGCGCTACAATGATTATTTTTTTTATTGATTTGATGGTTTTTGCTTCCAATTGCCGTTTAATATTTATGAAGGGAAATAGGAAGTAGAACTATTGATCCGTTCACAGGTTAATCATGATGTGCACTACTAATGAAAATCTAATGATTAAACACTAAGTGGTTAACTTCTAGTAAGGTGTAGATGATCTACTTTTAGGTGAGAACAGTAGCTTAATATAATGTTGCTCATAGAAATAGAACATCTTCGTTTATTTTTTTCATACCAATTCGATTGAGAAATATTTATTCCTAATTCTTCTAAGTGATTTTAATAAGTTTCGACTCAAATGACTTAATCTTACTGAAATACTATATAGAATGTCAAGAAATGAAAATTATTCAAGCATTGTGTATCAATTGTTAGATATTCGCTATTTGATTTGTTATGTTCATTGATTCAGCAATTTTGACTCAGAATCCTTTTTGTTTCTAACTATTGTCAAACTTTCTTTTCGTATTTTCAGTTTTATTTATACAATATATTTTGTGATGTTGATTACTGAAGATAAGTTTGCTTAGACGTTCTTGTTTAAAAATAAAGTGATATTTGTAAGTTAATTTTCTTCTTTCTTCATAAACAAGCAATAAAAATAGGAAAATAAGGAATATTTATATAAAGAAAAACAACTAAATGCTTGAGAAAACGTGACAAATACGTCACTAGAGTTAATGCTAAGCACGTGCGAAGAATTCACGACTCCGTTTAAAGAAGTATGAAAAGCAGAATTATGTGTCATTGCTTTGATATTATGTGAACCTGAAAAAAATAACTCTGCTCTAAATATTTAATACTCTGATAATAACAATATAAATAGTGAACTTACTTTCGTTTTTCTGTCTTCTGCACGGAAAGTATCTACTTATTGGTGAGCATCAATCAATAGTCATCGCTGTTAGGCGAAAACTTTTAATAAATGATGAAATATTGAGTTAATGTAAGAAATGAAATGATTTTTTTTCTTAATAGAAAAACATTATATCACTCGATAAATGTAAGTAATCTTACTATATTTTTATCAGCCATCCCGGCATTAACTTCTGTGATTATTCATTATAAATAAACTTCCAACTACCATCATGATATTGCGTATGCTTTTATGACTTGGGTATTCTAAATTAGTTATGCACATTTTTAGATTTACCACATTTTTTCCATTATAACTTCTATGATTCGTTTAACTTATTCTAGAATCTAGATGTAAATAAATTTATTGTAACTGAGCAGTTCTAGAATCTATTTTTTCCTGAAAAAAGGTTCATGAATAGAAATAGGATACAGCATGTAGCGTGCAATAATGATAAATAAAAAATGTTTTTTGAGTCTATAACATATATAGTTTGTGCACAATCGTCTAATAACAAAACCAAAATATCTTTATTTCAATAATACGTTAATAAGTACATCACAAAAGATTCACTGTCAAAAGAAAAAATCAAAATGGTTCTTTTGTAAATATCAACAAAAATGAACATGAACTTTTTAAACAAGCCAACTAAAGTTAACATGAATTTCTACCTAAATGCAGTGACATTCTAAACGAATGCAATGGCAACTACGTGAATTACAAAATTCTTCTAAACCAACGAAAATGAATAAGTAGCAGGATATTGTTCAAACTAGAGGTATATGGAAAGAATATGAATAACCAACGTTTCTAAATACGAACCAAACGCAATGACAAATTAACCATGATAGTATTCAATCCATACAATAATCATTTAACAAACAACAAGAAACAAACAAAAAGCTAAATTTTAATTAAACCTGCTACTAATTCAGCATCACGAAGAGTCATTAAATAACGAAGGGTATCGGCTGATAATGAACAACGTTGTTTACGATTTACGTATGAAGCAACACTAAACAAACTTTCACTCGGTACTGATGTGGTTGGTCGTATATTAAACGACTGAACAAATCTTGAAAGATTCGAAAGTACCGTTTCGTTTGCCATCCAAAATTCTTCAAATGATGTAAATGTTTTAACTTTATCTATGTAACAAGCTATTTCTTCGTGAATTGTTCGATTTGGATGACTATTGATAGAAGAAATTGTAAGAGTTTGTAGACCACATCCAGTCAAAAAACTGTTCAATTGATTATCTTTTTTGTTCAAATTGCCATTTGATAAATTTGAAATAATTGTATTCGACGAATCGTTCACTAATGGAACTGCTTTATGAAACATATTTCGACTTCGAGCTTCATCGATAATGTGCTGTTGAGCTACATATTTATCATTATCATTCATCGAATGATGTGTCTGTGGGTCAAGGAAACACGCAATCTAAAAAATATGACAACAATGAATATAAAAAACAACAAAAGAGGCATTTCTCAAAGTTTGAATTTCTGTAATTTTAATCGTTTTTCTCGATAGTCTGAACACTTACACTTAGAAAACATTCGAAATTTTTCAATAGACATTAAAAATTATTAGAAATAATCATTCAAGAAACAGCATACTCATCCAAAATTATAGAGAACTTTTTTATCGCTAAAAGACTCGAATTTTAATGCAATCTTAGCTCGTTTATAATTATTTCTCTAATGTTTTATTTGATATCAAACTATTTTATTTATATCGAATAACTCAAGAAAGCCTTTTTGCCCCATGAATTGTACAAACATGCATTTTATATATTGTAACAATAGTTTATGAGTCTTAGGTGGATGTAAAATATTAGTGAATATAGGATAATTACAATATTTGAAAAATAATTGTATAGCTGATCACCCATTCTGATATAATTTTATCCACAAAGCTCAAAATGGACAGTAGTGAATGTGTCATTGTACATATCTATTGACAGCACATAAAGCAGCCATATCAGCAACAAAATTACTTCTCATCTTCACATAAAATACTAGTAGATAATAGAAATACTGGAAATGTATTAGCCAGTATTCAAATTATTTTCAAACATTTTTTTAAATTCTAAGATAATATTATACATTGTGACTCTAATGCACTACATTGGAGATAATTCCCTCATTTTTTCATCATGTTTTAATTTCCTGTCCTCTTGGATATGTCAATATGTTAATGCCAATTGTCCACTTCACAAAGTTTCAAAGTATCATCTACGAAAGAAAAATCACTCACCATCATTGATTTTTTCTGAATAGAACTGACTTTGTCAGCTACGTGATAACAGTAAGCATCATATAAACTTTTGCGAAAAATTAATTCAATATGAGCTTGTTGACCACTAGGTATTGATTGAGTCAAGTGATGTTCAAGTCCAACCAGTACCAAATAACCAATCGAATGAGTTTGATATTTTTTTCCACATATAAGTCTTGTTGCTTCTTCAAACTTGGATAAAACATTACGAAGAGCCATCAAGATTTCCCACTCTTCATAACAAAATGCCAGTTGTTTAAGGCAAAAAATCATTGATGTTGATATTTCAGGTGCAATAATACGTGGATTTTTTGTAACGTCATTAATTACAATTTTATAATTAATAAAACGATCAATCATGTAAAATGACGAGTTCCATCGAATAATACAATCCAGAATTAATCCATTACCAGCTAATTTTTTGGCTTTCGCTTCTCGCTTGAAATAATCATGAATCAAGTGTTTACGACGAGTTAATTTAGCAAAATGACGAGCTCGATTCACCAAATGACGTGCATTCATTAAAGCATCATCAGTTGAAATCATATCTTGATGTTGTTGCATCTCAGTTTCATCATCGAAGCTATCGTCAAGATTCTCTTCATCATGGTCCACATTATTGTTGTTTGAATTTGTTGGTACTTCTTCATCTTCATCGTCATCTGAACTTGAATAATCGTCACCATCTTCATCACAAACTACTGCATCGATAAAGCGTTGGCTGTTGTGGGATGATGTTGTTCGATTATGATCATAATCTTTATTAATAAGAGAAAAAAAAGGAATAGGCATACTCTTAGATGAAACCAAATTCTCTCCATAAGTTTTTCTTATAAGTTCATATTGCTTTTTATTGTAAAATTTTCAACTTCACTAATGAACTATTTACTACATCTTGATTAATATCATAACCATATGACTTTTTACATAATATCTGAAAAGAATCTTTCCTTCACTGACTATTCAAAAAATTAAGAAATCTTCCAGCTAAACAGAGTAAATTAGAAGACGTCACACTAATTTTGAAACACCTGTCACAGAGATGACTTTTCTTGTGTTCTCAATAAGACTCATCACTTTCATCATGATAATTACAAAACGTAGTTATTCTCTTATATTGCTATAAGAAATAGATAAAAAAGTATTGCATAGAGAAAAGGTTACATATTTAAGATATTGTCTTTTTAACAATTATCGTTTAAGCAAAAATGGCCAAATCGATTATCTATTAGAATCCAAAAGTGTACTAATATGTACAAAAACATCGTCATCTTTTTTTTCGTTTTATAAATTTTGTTAAATTCCCAAGAAATGTTGTATGAAATAGATGTACGTATTTTATTGTATCTTTTCAAGATTCTTCCACAATATATCAGAATAGTACAACACTTGAATTGAAAATTAAAATGAAATAAAGTATCTTGGCTTTTATAAGAGAGTAAGAAGTCACAAAATAATCATTTTCCAAGGTGATCATGGGAACAATACTATTCTTTCTGGCTATTCTTACTTTTACATAATTATTACTAACATTATCAAGTATAGTGGGATCTAATCGATATTAAGAAATCAAATTACTTCACTGGTCATTTGTTTTTACTTATTTGTATTACATATTAAATATCGCTTACTTTTTTTGTCATGCAAATGGAGTGCATCTTGAATAATCAAATTTAAGTCATGCGCAAGGCACGAGAACCTTGTGCCAAAACATGGTTCATTTTCAGTAGTACAAATAATGTTCGACGCATTATCAGTTGTAATCGAACAAATTTTATTTTGAATTTGTAACGTATTCAACTCATGTAATATATATTTACGAAGTCGTTCAGCTATATGACTACCAATCAGTTGACGAAAGCCAATTGTAAGAGAAATAGATTTGTATTGGTGATCAAAAAAATGAGCTGTTAAACAAATAAAGTAAGTTTCATTGCTGTTTCTCCAAACATCTGAAGTAAGCGCGATTTCAGGTGGTTTTGCCAATACGAGTCTTAATAAATCACGATGATGTCGATAAAGATCAACGATTTTTCTTTTGATGGTTGATCGATGTGGTGGAATATAGCCTGGAACCGCTATTGAAAGACATTGCCGCATTCCATTTTTTCGAAAGTCATCAAATGAACGAGAATCATTAATTATACAAGAAACAAGTGCAGAATCTAATTGCTTTTTAAGCTCAGTTGGAATAGGATTTTCTTTTACTGTGTAAATTACTTTTTGAGACGGATAAAGGTATTCTTCTTATTTGTGTACCAATCCAATATGCTTTCGTAAGTTTGTAGTATAATATTGTTTACTTTTTAATTCCTAAAACAATAATTTGTTTTTACTTTATGAGAAATGAATATAAAATATTTTTCGCTAGCTGATAATCATATTTTTTCTCATCTGGTCGGATGTCTATTATATTTGAAGAATGAATACTTTCATATCACGAAAATTGTGTGAGCTGTACATTTAAACGGGATATAAGATTGCAGGTTAGACCAATGAAAAGAAAGCAAAAAGTAGTTTCAAGTTAAAAACAAATGCGCTTGTAATGAATATTAACTTAATAGTAAAGAATATGATACCCAATAAGGCGTATCATATGGAGAGTTTCTAAGTATGATGCAAAATAGTATTTATATATATTCATCACAACAACACTTCAGACTAAAGAACAATCTACTGGATGATAGGAATAAGCAAGAAAAATTATGAAATCTAGATTGGTTCTTTTCCATCGTAGCTACCTATTTACTGAAGTCGACATTATTGAAAACGTGGCTTGGGTACACATACAACTCAATTACAATATTTCCAATAGATTTTCTCTCAAGAGATATGCTAATAAAGCTGTACATAGAGAAAGACCGCCTTCGAATAGAAAACCAATATTGTCAAATATATTTCGTTCTATTATTAATCGAAAAAATAATTTATTTTCTCATACTTGTAAAAATTTATAAGAAAGCATAGTATTACTTGTTGACAAATTTTGCAACGATAAACTCCCTTCGATATTAAATCAAACAGCTTTAAAACATCGGCATTGTTTGTAGTATTCTTTGTAACATTACGATCGGAACGAATCACTGTTAACGTTGCATTAGTATTATCATTTAAAGGAACATTTTCAGCAGAACTGGTGATCAATGTGGCAGGAGTAAAACTTGATTCAGTAATATTAGCTTCGACACTAACAGTACTGTCCGATCTGTTTTGTGGCAATCGATCATTGTTTTGATCATCCGGAACCTGTTGTTGCACCTGTACAGATTCAGATAAATGAAATTCAGAAATAGGTTCATTGTTTAAATCGTTTTCGTTATTATTTGAATGTCTTGGTGTTGACGAAGGTAATTCATTATCATTACTACTGTGATGGCGCGTGAATGACCCATACGGTAAACTGTTATCACGTGCGCTGTTTAGACGTATACGACTTCTGGTAGGTGTTGGTGAGTTTATCGTATTTCTTGATCGACTTTTTGACCGGACAATTCTTCGACTTCGAGTACTCATACTGCTGTTCACGAAATGTAAATTATATAAATAGAAACTGATAATAATAATAACAAGTATAACTAGATATGAAATGAAATGCTCTATAAAAAAAAGCGCTCATTTCGCCAAAACGAAAAATATGCATTTTCTTGTTAACTGTCTACGTTTATCGTTATTGCTTAATTCCATCATTATATCGGATACACAAGTATGATAAAAAAATCATTTTTAAACTTATTTTTAGTGTTAGAATGACTGTATTAAGAAAACTACGGAGTCTAATGTGTCTACTGAGAACTTCTCAGTGAGAAGTACTCTATGATATCGTTTCTAGAATCCTACATATCGTCGACTTTCCAACTAGTACGTGATGATCATCTACTAGCTACTGTGTACCATTAGCATGAGCGACTATCAAACTTTTCGTGCTCCGATTGCAGAGGACTGAACAGCCTGACGAACAGAAAATACCTTCCGCTGTGCAAGGAGTTGAGACCTACTCACTAACTCTCTCTAGCATTTACTTACAACAGAACTCGACGTTCAAAAACCATACCTAGGGTTCTTTATGGTCAATTGAAAGCAATTTAACTAAAGCTAACGATAAGATATTATTTACCACTTATCACTTCCTAAGGAATACTACTTACCACTTACCTGGTAAGTGGTAAGTGATTTGACTCACCACTTACTGATAAGTAGTAAGTGATTTTACTTACCACTTACCTAGTAAGTGGTAAGTGATTTCACTCACCACTTACTGGCAACAGTAATGGGAATATGACACCCCTACTCACAAGGTCAGAGTTAGTGAATAGTCAGTAGTGTCATACTTGAAACTTTAATGCAACCGAAACTTCAAGTTTCAAGTTTCAAGTATGACATATATGTTGGAAAGAAACACATCCTGCAAAAAAAACACTGAGTCATTTTTGTGAAAAATCCAAAGAGAATATGATCCCTTGTCAATATTTGTATTCTGCCATATATATATTTGATAAAATATCAGAGAATGAATAAATTAGAATAAAAAAGATTCCGTCAAAAGCAGAAACTTTCGTGGACAAAACACAACAGCAGCGGTCGATTAATCCATTGAAGGTAACGTGTATCTCTACTTTTTTCTACTTCTCATTAGAATAGTACAATCTATCTCATTCCTGTGTCAAATCTTGTATTTTACAGAAAAAGAATGAGTCGTCAAGTTGAATCTTAAACTGATTTTTGAGGATAAAAATTCTGATGTCTACGTGCGCAAATTATCAATGAATATTACTAAGAATCTAAAACCATCTATGGGATGAAAATACTCATTTAGACTGACAGTTTGACGTCAAATTTCATTGTCCACGTTCTCAAAATATACGACATTAGTGTGAAGCAGAGATGTGCATCGTCCGCGCGGCCGCCCAAGGTCAAAAGAACTCCCAAAACTATTTTAAAGTAAAATCAATTTTTATGTCTTTAGGACGATATCTGTATATCGTTTACGTCAAATTAAAAGTAATAAAGCAAAATGCCATCTACAGAATAATTATTGTTAAAAGAAAACTAAATGTCACAAGATTTTGTTGCAAATAATTTTGTTTGTCGAAATGATGAATATTTGGTTTTCTTTTAAGAATAATTATTCTGTAGATGGCATTTTGCTTTATTACTTTTAATTTGACATAAACGATATACAGATATCGTCCCAAAGACATAAAAATTGATTTTACTTTAAAATAGTTTCGGGAGTTCTTTTGACCTTGGGCGGCCGCGCGGACGGTGCACATCTCTGGTGTGAAGTTCTTTCATAAAAGCTATACTTTGAAAATTTTTATGATAATATTTCGAGTTAAAAGTCGAGGATGGGCAGAATTGCAGTTTTTGAAATGAAACAAATTACATCATGGAAAGCAAAACAGTTTAGTGCCCTTTTTTGTTTCCTTGGAAGTTTGCGTCTAGTCTGTCTCTGTATATGTGTTTGCAATACTCTGTACATTTTCTCATCGAAAACCCATTGCTCGTCTTCCTGACTAGTCAGTAGAGATGGAATCGCCCGATAAGTTAGGGTGTGGATGTGAGGGTGTGTGTGCGGGTGCGGGTGCGAGTGTAGGTGTGGGTGTGGGTCTCTTCTTTACCCACACCCTCAAGCTATCTGCTATAAATAACAGGTAAGTAACAACTGGCTTTTTTTTGAAAACTCTGTTCGCAGTTTTCTTTGATTAAACTAAATGAATCAACACTATAGACGTTAGGAAACCGCTCCAAAGCATAAGATCATCTAATGCATACAGTTAAGATTGACAAGGAAGTGAGATAGGATCTTTTCCAGAAAACAAATTACTTGGTATCAATTATTTTTTTGTGATTTACAAAAAAATAACAATTACAATAAATTCCCACGCCTACCATCAACGTCTTACACTCTATATGAATATCTATGATTTTTTATTATTGATATTCAAAATAAGAAATGGCGCTCGCTACCGCATTGTCAGAACTTGCTCCTCATCAGTACTTTTTATCGTCTCTCTAATACTCCCCATATATGCATTGTCAAACCCCCACTCATAGCTATGCTCTTTGCCATAAATAAACATTGATTTACTACTTTTTCAGGATTCAGGAGAACCGAAGTTTATTGTCTATTGAAAGTGCTTACTTATCAACGTCATTGAAGCATACGTATATTTGAAAACAAAATCATCGATCATGACTGAAAAACCACCACCGGTAAGTGCTGGAATTATTTTAAGTACAATAGTGCGCACATTCCATATAATTTATAAAACTGAGAAGATTGTCATATTCTCAGCATTCGCTTGATTGAAACTGCAGGCATTTCAGAGAGTATGAATTTCGGAAATAATCAGAAACTAACCGAAGCGAACTTTTAAGTTTAGTCGAACCGAACCGAGGTTTTAAAAATGCATTCGACTCGAAACGAATCCTGGGTAAAAGATATGGGTCGATTTGTCCCCTGTTAACAATTAAAAAATCAGTTTTTGATGAATAAATTTACGTTACTGTAAATAAATCTGTTAGTAGACTATCTAAAACATCTGGACGGATGAAGCATGACTTCGTAACGATCCAATTGAAAATGAGCTAGAACAACTATTTTTTCTTAGCATCCTTTATTTTAAGATGATGAATTTTTCTTAACCTTTGGTTAAACATAATTAGAGATTGCAAGGTAATCATTTTTCGTACCCTGACCCTACCCTACCTTGTAAAATCTCTAGACTCCTTACCCTTACCCTGTCCTATCCTACCCTACCCTATAGCCTGTTGTTCGCGTACCTTTACCTCATCTCGCAAATTCTCATTACTTCTTTAATCTACCATACGAGCCTGTGCTCTTATGAAAGCGCAAAATCTCTACGGGCCCTTATCATTACTCTGTCCAATTCTGCAGTCCCTCTATCTTTATCTTATCTTACAAAACTTTTATCTGTCATGATCCAATTCTAGTAGGAAGATTTAAGAATGATCGCCAAACAAAGAACATGACACTGTTTCTTATTTATCTCGTTTGCTACTAATCAAAAACAAAACATTACGTAATAAATTTTTTAAATTTTACAATGGACAGCGTATCAACACTTAAATGTTGTCATCGCTCTTCAAGGATTCTTTCATCTCAACTGAAATCTCCTTCGCTAATGTACGAATACCGGAGAAAGAAAGCTGTTAGCGCAATCCCTTCGGGATTAAAATGTGAAACACGACGTAAGTGCTAATGGTGATCCGAAAAAATTATGAATCTATATATTTTTGAACTTTTTATTTCATTATCCTTTAATGCACCACCTACACGTGAATAACGGAAATAGGTCATCGATTTCCTGATATTATAGCATTATCTGGTCGTTCATTGTACGATGGCATCCATTAGTACTCAGCTAGATATATAATAACTGCTCCTCTCTCTTCCCGAATTCGCTAGCCCGTTTGTGATAGTTCCAATGCCTGTCTCTTAAGGTGCGTCATAGGTAATTAGCTAATTATACCGCAATTAGCTGATTCATTAATTAGAATATATGTGGAAGAATCCAACTTCCTACCCTTAAGGCCTCAACATTCCTATCTATTCGCTTTAAACAAAGCTTATCTGTAACGGTCTGTGATGGTACCATCACCTGACGGTAACGGCCTGTGACGGTGTCATCACCTAAGGGTAACGATCTGCGACGGTGTCATCACCTAAGGGTAACGATCTGTGACGGTGTCATCAACTGTCTGTAGCTGTCTGTGATGGGAGAACCATCTGACTGAAACGGTCCGTTCTGGTATCATCACCTGTCAGTAATGCTTGTGTTGGGAAATCACGTGTTGGTGATGCTCTGTGACGGGTAAATCACCTTTCGGTCACGGTCTCTGATGCATAAGTCATCTGTCGGTAATGCTCTGTGACGGGTAAATCACCTTTCGGTCACGGTCTCTGATGCATAAGTCATCTGTCGGTAATGGTTTGGGATGTATAAATTACCTGTGGTAACGGTCTGTGATGTGTAAATTACCTGTCAGTAACGGTCTGTGATGTGTAAATTACCTGTCAGTAACGGTCTGTGATGGTACCATTAACTGGCGGTAACGGCCTGTGATGGGTGTGGGTGTGGATATGAAACAAGGCGACACCCACACCCACCTCACACCCCACGCCATCCCAGGGTAACCACGGCTAGATAAGAAATAGAATGTCATAGATTAGGAGAAGTTGGGAGATGTCAACCAGGAAGATACAACATCTCTCTAAGAGAAGTGTTTGGAGATGCCGCGTCTCTTACAGAGATGCAGCATCTTCTCAGGGAGAAGTGTTTCGGGAAATGGTCTATGTTTGGGGACTTGGGATAATTGGAATCTCCGAATCTCACGTTGCTTCTCCAACATCCTCGATTTGCTGGATATGTGACACTACTGATATTAACACACCCTGTAACAGGACACTACTCTTTTTCTATGAATATATCAATATATATGCATGTTTTTGCTATTAATTTTTAAGTGATAATTGCATAGTCTAAGAGAAATTGCTTATTTTTTCTGATTTAATTTTTTTCTAGTATGCTGCATCTTCAATTCGTGCAAGATATGCTGATGGGAATGATATAAATAAAAGTAGGGATATTTTGGCAAAGCTGAAACATGACTTTAAAAGCTATGGAAAGTTTTCGATGAAGAAAGTTGAGCATAAAAATATCTTGCTAATCGGACGAACACGTACTGGCAAATCGACCATTCAGTCATTGCTAATAAATCCTGCGAATGTACCAGAAGAACTGACGCTTAGATCAGGAACAAGAGATCCCCATTTTCAAGCATTTCATTTACAAGGAGATGATGTTGTACTCAACATTATTGATACACCTGGTCTTTTTGAACACGGCAACAGCCAGATGGACATTCGAGATAATGAAACGATCTTAAACACAATTGGGTTTTGTATTAATGTGGAAATTACAAAGTTTCATGCAATCTGTTTTTGCGCTTCACTTGTATCTGGTATCAATGCAGAAGATATTAATTCACTCAAGTTATTGATCCAATATCTCGGTCATGCAACGGCAAAGAACGCGTGCTTAATTATTACACGTTGTGAATCCATTAGCAAACAGCAACGAGAAAAGCTGAAAAAGGAGTTAATTGAAGATTCTGTTTTCAAGCAGATCGCACCATTTTTCCAGCTAGGAATTTATTTTTCTGGCTCAATTAATAGAGATGATCTGCTTCGCGGTAACGAGGAGACTGTCTATCGTCAATATAGCACAATAAGTGACTATCGCGAAGAATTAATTGATCTGTTCTTGAAGGTCAAAGATCCATTACCTGTCGAACAAATGGCATCTGAGTCAAAACAATTTCGTGAACAGTATCATGCTATATCTTCGAATACAACTGCAAAATCTTCTTCAAGGGACGTATACGGACTACGTTCAAGGCGTTACGAGTATAATTGATGCTTAATTGAGAGTTACGAAAAATCCGTGAAATATACGATCACTATATTGAAAAACTATACTCCTCCTATCCACAATACCTTTCCTCTTAACACTACTCACACCTAACTCGCCTTCTTCTATGCTTGTAGAATGCGAAGTCAATTTTCTGCCATTTTATATTAATTAAACAAGAGTCACTTTGTTTTAATAAACACTACTAGCACAAGC